ATATATACTAATTTATTAATAATTTTTTTGTTAAATCACACTTTTTATGAGTTGACTATATACAATACTAGATAGAGCTGCACAAATAATTGTTTGCTATTGTGTAATTTTTATTAAATTTGCATAAAATTATTGAACGTCAATTGTCAATAATTGTATTGTTATCATATTTAAAATATTAATTACGTAACAATGGAGATTAACTATCTTTTCGTGATGGTATCCAATAATTACATTGAATCCTTTAAAAATTTTGTATAAAAGAGGTCTGTCTTGATTATTAATTTATTTTTATTTTTAAGTTTAATAAACCTTTGCCAATCAAGCATTACGGCTAGACAATTATATATTATATCATTAGTTTACACATAACAATAATTTGTTACTAATACCCATGGACGTTCATTGGTGGGAGGGAAGAAGGGGACATGTCCCCCCTGGCTTTTTAGTACTTTAAATATTAAGACCATGTAGTGGAAACGCTGTGTCCTAATTTTATATTTATACGTGTAAATTCAAGATATGAATTTAGTTGATAATGTTATTAATGAATTTCACAAAAATAAACGCAATTTGGAACTATTGTTTTAGTTACTAAAATTAATTATTTTTAAATAATATAGCACAATGTTTAAATTTCATTTTTAAAATTGTATTAACTATCATTTTATATATTTTCATTTTTTATAAAATTTCATTGTTTTTGCGCTTAAGCCGACGCAGCAAAACGCCTACGTATTTGCCGTACGTAACTAAATATAATGAGAGGTCCTGATATCGCACGTCCTGTCTAGGATCGATCAGAGGGTAGCAGGAATAGTTTTCTTAATAATAATAATAAACAAAATGGAAACAATTCAAACCATTATATGGTATATTACAATATAATAATAATTTGTAATTGGGCGCCCTTACACCAATATAATAATAATTTAATAATAAATAACAATAATAATTCGAGCATTACAATCGGAATAATAAAAAGGGAAGCACAGCTTCCATTACTTCGGTATATTTGAGTCCCGTTGGATTATATCCCACGCGACCGTGGATAACTCAACACGTGCGACGGGAACTCAAATATACAGACGATCTGCGATGGCAGGGACATACGGAAATAGGTTCCGGGTACAACCTCTTGGTCGATGGCGGATCACAAAAAAAAAAAGAAGCACTAACTAAATACAAATAAAGAGCACTGTTCAAACACCACAGTTGTACGCCAAACGCGCAAGGCACACGCAGAGGCTCACACCACGGGAGTTACTCGACGACAACCCGCCGATCTCGAAAATATTCTCTACGGCCCCGGTGAACACATCGATCCAATAAGATATGGTTCCGGGCACGTAGAGAATTTAAGCTGTGAGTCTCGAACATTCATTTTATATATCTATTTTATAAATAATAATTTTATAGGTTTAACAACAATGCATGTACTTAATAAAATAATATTAATATATATAACTTTACCTATGACAATTTATTATGAAGGTAAATTTTATTATAAAACACTATGTCCCTCCTCTAGATTTCTGAAGATAGACGCCCTTGCTAATACCATTGATTTTATAATATACTGTATATTATAAAATCAATGCTAATACAATAGATTACAGATTACATATGATAATGACCATATTAAACTTTAATTAATTACCATAGTTCTTAATTTTTATCTAGATGTTGATCAGTGGAAAACTTTTATGTCTTATTACTACTATAAATTAGCACTATTAAAAATCTATAGATTCAGGTTATACTATGAAATAAAAATAAATCAAATTTGTAATGAAAGAAGATGATTTATTTCACTCACTCTAGTTGTTTTGTCAGAAAGGAATACAATCATTTAAATTAGTCCATCAACAGTAAAAAACGTACTGAATTTTGAATCAATAATTACTTCATTGCTCACTATCTTCCTAAATATATTAGCATTACTGTTAACCTAATTGAAGCAGCGATACAATTTCATAATGAGGAATCATGATTTTTGCAAGAATTTAATTACAAGAATACAACATTTAAAAAAGACTAAAAACCCAAAAACCAATAAAATTAGCTAATACAAACAAAAATATAAAAAAAATTGTTTTTCATTTTTCTTGTTTTGTTAATTATGATCAAATTTTTTTTTTTTGTAAATATATCTTCCCTTGTTTCCCAACCAGGGAGCTTTAATTTAACTTTCTCATTTTTACATATATTTATGATTAAACTATCTGGATCATTTAATTTTATATATGAACCATAAACACAATCCCATATACTTTCTAAAAAGTTAAAATTAATTTTAAATAGTTAAATTATCATAAAATATAAACTTTATAATAAATTACTCACAATATTCTTTTCAAGAACAATAAAACACGAACCACCAATAGATTGCCAATGATAATAATATTCTTTAGAAACTATTAAATTCATTAATTGAATAACTGATTGTACAAGATTTAAATGAGGATTTGATAATTTCATATTCTTTGGCTGACAGTTAAAACAGATATTAGTCACATTTTTTTAATGCTTTATTGAAATACTTGCAAAACTTAAAATTATAGATAAATCTGAGAAAATTGAAGTTAGTTGTTGTATTGCTACTTTTTTCACAAAAGTGTCACAAATTACTACATAATTTAAGACAAGTTTTAATTCAAGACAATTTAAGACGCATAATCGTTTAGAATCATCAAATTTCAATTCATATCCATTCTAAACAAAAAAATAGTATTTCCGAAAATCAAATTTAACTCTAACAAACTTGTTAATTTTTTTTTTTTGCAAATAAATATATAATAATTAATATAGATAACTATAATAACGTTGATTGTGTTGGTAGTATGTGTCAGGGCTCAGGAAGCTACTCTTAGATTGATATGCTATTATGTTAATATGTTATGTAACTACTACATGGAAATAAATTATGATGAAGTAATAGATATATTTTGTAAAGCAATTCAATACATAGGTATTCAATGCCTTAAATTAAATCATTGATAAAAATTATTATGTATGTTGTAGTATTAACTTTGAGATCTTTAGTAATTAATAAGTTATTATATTTGAAAAACTATACTGAGCAATACCAACCGGTGAAGATTTTTTTCTGTAAAATTTTAAATTCAAACCCATATTAAAAAAAATGTTGTACAGGAATTTGAAATATTTTTAAATTTATTTAAGGTAAACATGAATTTGGAAAAAAATTATTTCAATCAAACGAATATAATCGTATGGATGTAGACCAAAATACTTTTGGGGATCCTATAATTATAATTGCATTGATTCATGGAAAACCTGTTGGCGCCACTGAATACTAATAATAATGATTTACCTACGTATACAAATATAAAATTTATATAAATAGTAATAATGGATACTCGTATATAGCTAATAATAAAATTAACGAATATAACTACATTGCCTTGGTCAAAAAGCATTATTGAGGGGAAAAAAATAATACCTTCATCACGTGTTTTTCTTTTCACTTGGCCTAGAAAAATTTGATCATTTTTTTTTCCCCCAACTATTTTTTACCGTTTCTATTTGTTTTTTCCTCTTCTGACCACGACTATCACCGGCTCCATTAGCCGATTCTACGATTGCCGATACATTTTCCGATGCCATTTTCCTTGTAAAACTACCAAATTAATATTAATAAATTAAATACATCTGTCAACTGTAGAGATATATTTTGTAGTATTAAGCAATACCAATAACAATAAAATTCAGGTCACATGAAAAATTACTGTACCTATATTCATGTCACAATAGGAAATAGTTTACTACAACATTTTAAGAAAGAATAAAACAATTTTAAAATAGTCAATACTCTTAACTAGCATGAAAGCAATTATTATGTTTAATTAGGTTAAGCGAATTTATAAAAGACAGAAGACGCGTAAATAAAAATTCTTCTGTGTAACTCGACTACTACGGAAACATATGCGTTATAAAAAGAAATACAATTTCCAAAAGAAAAGAAAAATAAAATAAAAAAATAAAAAACTTTTACCAAACCGATCTACGAAGCCGCCGATGGCAGGACAGTGTTATGCCTACATAGTATAGACCACGTATCCAAGACATATACTATTCACTCGCAATTGATTCTTCGTGGTATCGCTGTGCATCCAGTGCGCGAACGATAACGTGGCGAAGAGTATGAAGCTCGTCGATACTCATGAGCTCGATTTCGGAGCAATCAACATGTATATTTTTATTTATCCGACAACGGACCACCGCAATTGGGTTTTCAGATACCTTTGTGGAATGATTGACAGGTGAATAATAAAAAAGGAAAATTCATATTAAATACGTTTTATAATATCAAGTAACGTATACATGATATGTTATTACGTTTTGATCGCAGTTTTATAACATGATCAAAGATAATTTAATAATTTAAATGTGATGCCTTAAACATTGAAATATCTATTCCTCGTACAACAAATAAGCAAAAAAACAGATGCAAATCTAGGTTTATTTGCCTGAGGATTATTACAAAATATCTTTATTCATTCCGTTTATAGATCATTTTTTAAATCAATTAAACGATCGATTTTTATCTCATAGATCCATAATTGAAAATATTGACGTTATTTTACCATCATCCAACAGTATGCAATATGAAGAAAAAATTAAGCAGCTAGTTGAAATGTATTAAGGCAATTTAGATTGCAATGTGTTAGCAGCTGTGAGTGAAATTAAAATTTGGCAACAAAAATTTAGAGGTATTAAATTATATATTATATATAATACAATATAATTATATATATTAAATTGTATTAAATTTGTTTTCGATATCGCGGAAAATCAAACGATATCGATATTAAAAAAAAAATGTTGTTGTTGAGAAGCTTAACATTTATCATCAACGCGTTTTAATGCAATTTTAATGCAATTTGTTGGAACAATAATTGTAACAAAAATAAATGTTTGATTAGCTTATCAACTTTTATCGCTTCACCGATATCGTTTCCGTTTTCGATAACGGACCAACTGATAATGGGGTAACGCGCTTAGCGGCAGCATCGACGGCAACGGTGTTCTGCACTGGCCGCGGTTCGAGTCGGCAGTCGGTTCGGCTGTCCAACGGGTGGCCGCAAATGGACGAACCGCACGAACGGTCGGCAACCGGACGGCGGGCGGACAGCGGTTCGATGTGTGCGGCGATGGCGACGTCCTCGCGACGCGGACGTCCGGTGCGCCAGTGGTGACCGTACGACATCCGTCTACGTTACCGGGTCGCCAGTGTCCGATGGCCAACGTTCAGCCCGCGACCGTCCGGAACATGGCCCGGCACCGGTATCTGGTCTACCTGATCTTGTGGCTCTGCGTCTTCTTTCCAGGTAACGTGCGCCGTGCCCGAGCGTATCGCGCGACCCGTTCTGTGCGGTGCGCACACAACCGTGAACCGTGTCCGTAGCGTGTACCGCGAAACTTGAGTGTACGAACAATTGTTTACGTATCATTTATTGTTCTACGGTTTATTGAGAACGTATTGCGCCCGCGGTACGAACGATTGCAAACTTTAGGCTTCGAACGAGCCGTACGCCCCCACACGGTTCTGCGTTTCATTGCTTACACCGCGTTTGTTGTTTCAGTGCTGTACTTCAAGATTTCCAACCGCCCCGCGCCCGACAGGAAACCTGTGAACGTGTCGGTGGTTACCGTTGCTAAGCGCATCCGGTCGGTGTCCAAGATCGATTACAAGGACCTGGCTAAAGTGTGCAATCCTCCTCGAGCGATTAAACACGGTGTCGAGGGAGATATTGGTACTTGAACTGTTAATCATTTTGCTTCTACAGCGTATGGTAAAGTATTATTTTATTTTGTATTCCATCAGGTTCGTTGAACAACAGTCTTACCATCCAAGGGGTGATAATTCTGACCCGTCATGGGGACCGGGGACCAATGAATCATGTCAGAAATATAGCTAACATCGATTGTGGTATAGCACCTGATCAGGAGTACAGTGATTATGTGACATTCTTGCAAAATATATTTTTTAACATGTCCTTACAGTTTTTAGGCCCTTTTCACGGTTATCCATTATATCCATCGCGAAATAATTGTTCTATTAGTCAACTAACACCTGTTGGTGTGTCTCAAATGCTTAAACTTGGACGTACATTACGTTCTGTGTACTCTTCCTTACTCAGCGTTTCTACTTCTGACGACATAATAATATATAGTACCAAGTATAGACGTACTTTTCAGAGTGCATTAGCGTTTGCATATGCAATATTGTCACCAGACATTATGCCTAAAATTACATTTATGGAAAGCGATAGTTACAGTTATTGTTTTGACCATTGTGCTTGTTATAATGTCAACAGCTTATTGATGAAAATCAAACAGTCTTCAGAAAAGCGATTGAAGAGTCGTAGAGCTGTGGAGAAGATGTTCAAACATATGCATAATATATTACACTTGATGTCTAGTAGTGTACGGGTGGACCCATACTTACTGAGAGATTCGATTATGACATATATATGCCATGGAGCGCACCTGCCTTGCTACCAGGATGATTGTATAACAATTGACAATGTGCATCAGTTATTTGGCTACCTGGATTGGGATTTGAAACGGTATGCTAAACATGGACTGCTGCAGAAGTATGGACTTCTCAAGTCATATGGTTTTGCCTTAAATGTGGCCATGAACCTACTTAAAATGGTGTCGGAAGGTAAACCTCATTTGGTCCTGTACTCTGGTCATGATTTGACTGCTCAGTATCTGTTAGCTGCGTTTGGTGTACTCAACGCCCAAACCATGTCACCACACTATGCTTCCAGACTTGTATTTGAAGTGTATCGAAACAATACAGTTGACACGACATTTCCTGGCAAGGACTTCTACTTCAGAGCTATTTTCAATGGTAAAGACGTGACCCGATCAGTGGTTTTCTGCAATGATCATGGTGGAGCCTGGCAAGATACTGTTTACTTATGCCCTATAGAATCTGCCATAAGATTTATACATGATGATTACTTCACCATATTTAATTCATCCAACTATAAAGAAGCTTGTGGAATGCACCCATGAGGCTATTACTTAATATTTCACTTTTAAATATGTTATATCTAAATTGTCACTATATGATTTTGTATCATAACATTTGTGTAAGCATTCTCAAACTATTTTCATCTTACTGTTGATGTGTTAATTTGTCAAACATTGAACATTATTCAGCACTATTTCATTGAGAAATATTCAATAAGAACTTTGATCTTAATTAAAATAATAATTACTTGATCTCTATTAGACACATCTGCATGTCATGTAATGGAAATAAATTTAACTATGAGACTATTAAATGTTAACAGTTAAATATATACCTTTATATTTATATTCATACTTATAAAATTAATATGTGTCTTAATTGTACCTACAAAACTATCAATATTTTATTGTTTTAATGTTATTTGTATGCCGTTAGGTCATACAGTATAACATTAACATAAAATATGTATTTTTTCTAGTTTATTGTCATTTATCTGAAATTTATTTTATTCTTGTGATTAATTTTATATTTTTTATACCATATTATTTATTTATTGTACTGTTTAAGTTAATTTATATTAGTAATATTACTGTTTATTGAATATCCAATTATGTTTTATTTTTATTTTGTTATATATATTTTGAAGTATACTCATTAAAATAGTGGTTTATAATTTTTATGTTTATATACATATTTATTTAACATCCTATCAATTAAAAATAAAATAATAAAATTGATTAAGAAAAATATTATTCTATTTTTACTGTCACTAAAATCTAATATTAATACATTAATCAGAAATATTGTTATAATAATAGCAAAATTTAGCTGTGAAAGTTTATCGATAGTTCCATTAAAAATTTTTTTTAAAAAAATACTGAACAATTTATAAAAATGTTAAGCACTATGTTCCTTTATCTTAAGTAAAAGTATGCCCAGGAAATTAAAAAATTATGCATATATCTCATATATGTGGTATTGGCTATTTATGAATATTGTATATATTTATTAAGATATTAAAACAGATTTGCACAGTGAAACTAATGACATAAGTTAGTTCTCAAGTCCACTGATCATATTTTTTCTATACAAATACAAAATATGTCATACATATGTATACAATTTTTTTTATATTCTATTATAAACTTTGGATGTTTAATTAAATAAAAGGAAAATATATGGTACTTTTGCAATGTTAGCCTGGTCAAACTTGTCCTCTCATATATTGTCGGTCATATATTGTAATAATCTATATTATTAGTTATATAAAAAGACATTAAGTTTCTATCAATATACAGTATATTATTTCTATGGTATAAATGATTGGGACTAGAGAGGTCAGAATTATTATTATAATTCATTATTTATTACATTATTTATATAATTATAGTCTTAAAGTATCAAATATATACAACATATATAAATAATTAATCACTAATTCAATGAGTAATATTATATATTTTGTTAACAAACAATGAACATTATACTACCTCAGAACTGAATTATTACGTCTAACAGATTCATTTTAAATCCATTAAAATACCGAAAAAGGATGGTTAAATATTCATTAGGCTTAACTTAGTTTAATATGTCACATTTTAAAAAGTATAGTTTGTTTATTAAAAGGGTGTGATTGTTTTATTTTAGTTATTTGTTTAACATGGTACCCAATAATTTTATTTTTATTTTATTAAAAATATATGATTAGTATGTTTTAGTGTTTTGCTTAACAAGATACCCAATTATTTTCCTTTTTATTTATTTAAAAAGAAATATAAAGATACATCATTGAAATTACTACCAATTTTAAGAATAATTCCTTCTTAATTTTTTCCAAAATGTATGGAATGTTAAGCGTTAGTTAGACCTAAGAAACTGAAACACAACTTACAACTATTATTTATTTGTGGAATTGATGCGAAAGTGTGTACTTATTTATTGTACATATTATATGGTTTATGCTAAAATGTATGTTCTCATTACTTATTTCAATGTGATCAAAATAATAAAGCATAAACACAATGACGAGAAAAATAGAGAAACACACAATAAAGTATGTTAACTTTAAGTTTATACACATAATAATCATAAGTTAAAATTGCTAACGAATAATATATACATATATTTAATTTAACCTATTGTACGTTCATATTAAAGACATAATAATTAATCAATCTCTTTTTGTTTCAAAATATTTAAATTTTAATACATTTTTTTTTATGTTTCTTTTTCAGAACTTGGGATTTTTTTTTGGACCGACCCAAATCAATTTTCCTCCGGGAGCCGGGGATCCCCTTTTCATTTCTCCTTCTGAACTCTACACTTTGAATATTTAATGGTATAAAAATCTAATTCATCTTATTTACTTATTATATCTTAATAAGTCTAATATGTTTCTTTTCAGAACTTGGATTTTCCTTTGTTTCAACCTTAACAAAGTGTCCTTCTAGAGCCGGGTAACCACTTATATAAATATTTGTTGAATTTTATGCATTAAATGTTTAATGGAATAAAAATCAAATTCATTTAATCTACATCAAATATCTTGAAACATTTAAATCATTTGATTAAAATTAACTAATAATAATTAACTTCTAATAAATTGTGTTCATAAATGTAAAATATTATTCAATTTAAATTAATCACTCTAATTTTGTTTCAAAATATTCAAATTTTAATACATTTATTTTTATGTTTCTTTTTCAGAACTTGGATTTTTTTTTTGGACCGACCCAAATCAATTTTCCTCCGGGAGCCGGGGATCCCCTTTTCATTTCTACTTCTGAACTCTACACTTTGAATATTAAATGGTATAAAAATCAAATTCATTTAATTTATATAAATTATCTTAATAAATCTGATATGTTTCTTTTCAGAACTTGGATTATTCTTTGTTTATACCCAAAGGAAGTGTCATTGGAGAGCCCGGTAACTACTTATAATTTTTTTTGTTGAATTTTATACATTAAATATTTAATGGTATAAAAACCAAATTAATTTTATATACATAGAATATCTCGAAACTTTTAAATCATTTGATTAAAACTAACTAATAATTATTACTCTTAATAAATATTGCTCATAAATTTAAATTATAATTCAATTTAAATTAATCAATCTTATTTTGTTTCAAAATATTCAAATATTTATTCATTTATTTTTATGTTTTCTTTTTCAGAACCTTTTTTTTTTTTTTTGGATCCACCCGAATCAATTTTCCTCCGGGAGCCGGGGATCCCCTTTTTGTTTTGGTTTTTTGAATTTTAGACTTAAAATATTTTATGGTATAAAAATCAAATTCAATAATTTACATAAATTATCTTAATAAATCTGATGTTTTCTTTTCAGAACTGGGGTATTTTTATCATCTATCAAAATCAAAATTGTTTCAGGAGCTGAGTAACCTTTTTTCATTTTCCACTTTACATTTTCAATGGTATATACATGATAATTTTGTAATTTACTTAAAATAATTTAAAAATTTTAAATAAATTATATTAACTATATATATTCTTTATATAATTACTCTTATTTAATAACCAAATAATATTATTATAATTCAATTTTCTTTATGGTTCTTTTCAAAACTGAGATTTTTTTTTTCATTTACCTAAATCAAAATTCCTCCGGGAGTCGGAGATCATTTTTTCATTTTTATGGTATAAGTATGATTGTTTTATAACTTATTAAAATATTATAGAAATATAAAAAAATATTTAAATTTATGGTTTATTTCTGAATTTTTATTAATCAAGTTTAAATGTTTATAAGAATAATTAATGTTTTATGAAAAGTAATAAGTTATTTAATAGTTTTATTAAAAGGAAATATTTACTTCTACAAATTTTTATAGCATTCAGACCTTGAAAATTCTTTAATGTTATCTTTAATACCATTAATATTAATCAATAATGAGAAATTTTTAGCTATTACTGGATCACTCAGTCGACTTGATACACCACTATTTGCCAATATCTATATCACCACATCAAGGACACTCTTCGCAGGAGCATTTCTGAAAAAGATTATTGAACAATTATTGTTGTATATGATGAAAGGAGAACATAAAATAGTTTAATCGAATTTTTTACCTTGGAAGTTATAAAAAATATATATATTTATTTTCTTATTTTGAATGGAAGATAAAGTTTAATATTTACATAAATTACGTCAAGTTGCCACTATTTTGAAGATTTGACATTTTAGTGGTTTAAGCAAATAAAAAATGTAATAATCGGGTGTAGAAGGAATAAGATGCAAGTTCTGCCATACCATGTGTGACGTTTTGGCATTGTTCCTCTTCTTTTGGCTAAAAGGTACACTTAGTCACTGACCTATAGAAAGGCCGCTATGAAACATTGTTGGACAACAAGATTGATTGACAAGGAAACAAATTAAAACGGTGTTTGAAACATCACAGCAACATAAACATACTATCAGTGTTCACGAAAAGACAACAATTTACAGAAGAGCCCTCGTGATTATGGATGTTGCGATACTACTAATATTAAAAAAGTATCGATACATTTCTTTCGATACAAGTACTTTTTGTATCTATCAATACTTTAATTGTATCGATAAAAAAATACTGGTATTGAATGTATAGCATTAAATTATTTATTAACCGCCATAATAGTTCAAAAATCAAAAGTACTCGAATGGTCGAATGGTATCAAAGAATAATTCTTTTCTAGAAAAATTATTTGCACGCTTGGTAGAGAATTTATAAAATTCGGTCATCATACTAAAGTCTATACTTTATACGACTGTATTTGTTATTTCCATGAACCAGAAACTACAGTCCACAATACAATAGTGTCTATAGGTTTATAATAAACCTTTTTATCATAAATTATGTATACTGAGTTCATTTTTAGCTATGGAAATAGTAAAAAGTATTGCACAAAATATACAATATGTTTAGATTTACTGATTTATATACCGATTAGATGAAATATAAATTACAAATAATGATACAGGTACCTGGCGGAAACAATTAAAAATTTGTTTACATACAGCATTTTTATCTGTGGTTCATGAACCATAACTAGTTTTAGTTAAATATTAGTAAAATGGCATATTTTAAGATATACTAACATTTTGAATTCATTCTTAACTTGGAGAAAGAAAACTTTAAAATATAAAAATAATTTTTCATTTGATACTTATTCATATAGGTCGTTATCATATTTTATTGTTATAAATATTTTAATTATATTTGTTACGATGATAGGACTAAGTAAAAGGATCAATATTTTTTTTTCGATACTCATACCGGTCGTTACGTTTCGTTATTTTCATTCCATTCGTTACCAAGTG